ACTCAGTAGCAGTAATGCTAACCAATCAGCACTCAGTAGCAGTAATGCTAACCAATCAGCACTCAGTAGCAGTAATGCTAACCAATCAGCACTCAGTAGCAGTAATGCTAACCAATCAGCACTCAGTAGCAGTAATGCTAACCAATCAGCACTCAGTAGCAGTAATGCTAACCAATCAGCACTCAGTAGCAGTAATGCTAACCAATCAGCACTCAGTAGCAGTAATGCTAACCAATCAGCACTCAGTAGCAGTAATGCTAACCAATCAGCACTCAGTAGCAGTAATGCTAACCAATCAGCACTCAGTAGCAGTAATGCTAACCAATCAGCACTCAGTAGCAGTAATGCTAACCAATCAGCACTCAGTAGCAGTAATGCTAACCAATCAGCACTCAGTAGCAGTAATGCTAACCAATCAGCACTCAGTAGCAGTAATGCTAACCAATCAGCACTCAGTAGCTGTAATGCTAGCCAATCAGCACTCAGTAGCAGTAATGCTAACCAATCAGCACTCAGTAGCAGTAATGCTAACCAATCAGCACTCAGTAGATGTAATGCTAACCAATCAGCACTCAGTAGCAGTAATGCTAACCAATCAGCACTCAGTAGCAGTAATGCTAACCAATCAGCACTCAGTAGCAGTAATGCTAACCAATCAGCACTCAGTAGCAGTAATGCTAACCAATCAGCACTCAGTAGCAGTAATGCTAACCAATCAGCACTCAGTAGCTGTAATGCTAGCCAATCAGCACTCAGTAGCAGTAATGCTAACCAATCAGCACTCAGTAGCAGTAATGCCAACCAATCAGCCCTCAGTAGATGTAATGCTAGCCAATCAGCCCTCAGTAGCAGTAATGCTAACCAATCAGCACTGAGTAGCAGTAATGCTAACCAATCAGCACTCAGTAGCAGTAATGCTAACCAATCAGCACTCAGTAGCAGTAATGCTAACCAATCAGCACTCAGTAGCAGTAATGCTAACCAATCAGCACTCAGTAGCAGTAATGCTAACCAATCAGCACTCAGTAGCAGTAATGCTAACCAATCAGCACTCAGTAGCAGTAATGCTAACCAATCAGCACTCAGTAGCAGTAATGCTAACCAATCAGCACTCAGTAGCAGTAATGCTAACCAATCAGCACTCAGTAGCAGTAATGCTAACCAATCAGCACTCAGTAGCAGTAATGCTAACCAATCAGCACTCAGTAGCAGTAATGCTAACCAATCAGCACTCAGTAGCAGTAATGCTAACCAATCAGCACTCAGTAGCATTAATGCTAACCAATCAGCAGTCAGTCGTAATAGTAATGCTATGCGTCACCCCAGGGCTTTGAAGAGTGTCTGAAATACCATCTCACCCTCATGGTTCTGTAAAATTTACATGTTCAGGCAACTGCAATTACTGAAACTTGACTATTTGTTAGGCTCATTATTCTTATTCTTCTTCTTATTATTATTATTAATTAGGATGAATTATTTTATGTTTATATTCCTTCATTAACATCTCACAAAGTCATTTCAAGCCCACCTATAACTAAAATTAAAAGCAGGTCACAGAGAAACTAACTACACATCAAATAAACACATTTCCATTTTTTTCAGCTTGCTTACACATGACATGTTTCTATTTATTAAGGCATTATTAATCATTTACTACCAGTTCATTAATTGTTAAGAAGGAGAACTTAATATATAGTCTATATATAGAGTCTCAGAATCCAGTGAATGAAAAGAAAATTGGCATTTTAACAGGATTTTGTAACAAGTGATCTAAATAAAGTAATTCTTTCTTGAATCATTACAAAGTGTGACACAAATAAACAAGCGTTTTCTTTTGTTGTTTATTGTTTTCTGAGAAAGCAATGAATTTGTCATTTAAAGAAGTTACACCAAAATAAACCAACAATTACATACCGACTGACTACAACCTGTCATTTCCAATAACAGTTATCATATTTCATGATCAGCTTAAATAAAACAATGCATTGATCAGAATGAAAATGGTCAATAAATGAACTAAATTATGTTTCATTAACCCCTTAAAATCTCAGGCTTATTACATAGTAAGACTTATTATTCAGTAAATACATCAATTTCAATGAGTTATTCTGAGGTGATTGAAGTGTGTAGTAAAACTTTGGCCCTGGCCTTTTAAACGCTTTTAACCTGAGAAACGTTTTAATATTGCTGGATGGAGAATTAAAGATAGTGGTAAACTGGATTAAAGCCAATCAACCTATACTGAATGTACAGAAAACAAAAAGTATAAAAATTGGGTCCAAAATCAGCAATGAAAGGAGAACCAAAGTTAACATTAAATATAGGCAAAAAAATAGTACAAGTTCAGGAGGTACAACTCTTAGGTGTTACAATCAACAGATTATCATGGTCAAAACAAATTGAGAACAATATTTAAAAAATGGGAAAATTCTTATCAGTAATAAGGAGATGTGCAGCATTTTTAACACTGAGGTCACTAAAACTAGTGTCAGAATCACTGGCACTATGTAATCTAGATTATTGTGCTGCAATCTGGTCAAACGCAGCAAAGAAACATCTGACAAAACTGCAAATAATGCAGCAAGAATTACATTACAATGTCCATATAGAACCAACATAAATAGAACGCATCATAAACTTGCATCAACGACTTATTAAAAATACTTATGAACAAAAATATCCAGCAGATCTCTTTGATCAAGATTGAGATTAAGATTAAGTGACCCTTATTAGTCCCACAATAGGGAAATTTCACCTCTGCAATCTAACTCTAGTTAGTTTAATTAATCTAACTCTAGACTTAGTTTAATTTAGTCTTTCGTAAGCCTCCATATGCATGTTTTAGTTGAAGGGCGGGGATTAGTGTTCTTATGGGGGGTTGTTGACAGGAATTTTACTGAGCCTGGCGGCTCAAAAGGGTTTTAAGGCTAGGCTCATCCTGAACAGCAGCTAACAGGGTTCCTCTGTTTTCCATTATAAACTGTTCTTTGGAGAAAAAGCTGCATTGTGGACAAAGACCCTGACTCTCGTGTTTCTTGGAGACACTGCCCATGCTATTTGTACTAACTGCTATGGGATCGTGCCCTTAGATTAAGATTAAGTTAGATTGAGTGACCCTTATTAGTCCCACAACAGGGAAATTTCACCTCCGCATTTTGACCCATCCGTGCAGTGAAACACCACATACACACTAGTGAACACACACACTAGGGGGCAGTGAGCACGCTTGCCCAGAGCGGTGGGCAGCCCTATCCGCAACGCCCGGGGAGCAGTTGGGGGTTAGGTGTCTTGCTCAAGGGCACTTCAGTCACGTACTGTCGGCTCAGGGGATCAAACCGGCGACCTTCCATCAACTTCCATCAACTAACCATCAACTGGAGCAAGTAAAAGGTAGAGACAATAATATAACAAGATATACAACAAAAACATATTTCAAATTTACCAGAGCAAAAACTAACTACATGTGTGGAACAGTGATTTATAGCAACGCTATGGCAGGAATGTAGATATTTACCAGAATATAGCCAGCTAAACTTTTTGTAAATATACACATGATCTTTTCTTTCAGTGGGATTTTTCAGTTTTCAGTCATCTTTCTTATGTTATGTTATGGTTACATTGTCTACGTTTTATTTTCACTCTTGTGTTCTGTGTGATTTTTTTTGTTAATTGTTACCGCACTATTTTTGTTATGTATCATATGTTATACAAGAATAGCAGCTATCACAATAGCAGCTAATGGGGATCCTAAAAAAAACAAATATTCTCATTGAAGTAAAGGGCAAAAGTAGGATTGTCATTTCATATGTTGTAAGAAAACTTTATTTTTACGAAAATGCAGGAATAAAATCACAAAAGGTGCTGAATTCTTACATTGATTTTCCATTTTCATTTGACACGGGCATTTCAGGGTGGTTGTAACGTTTTCTGCTCTTCTTCTTCCATTTCATATGAAATATGATAGATAACCATTTTCCTTGTTTACATAAAATCACACATTTAGTGTCACAGGCCTGATTTTTGAAAAACCCAAAGAAAGCATTGAGAGAAATTATATTCTTTCTTTCTATAATATCATGATTTAACAATGTACATCACAGTGAGAGGAAACAAAAACTCTGACTGCTGTGTTTGATATTTAATATGCTGAAAAATCACACACATTGTTCTGACTTTGTACTTATAAATATGAACAAAAAGTGTGTATTCATGAATGAAAGTGTATATTCATAAGCATAAAAAATACATCTACCAAACCCAGCCTGATTACCCAACTTTCAGCTTTATTATTATTTAGCACAAATTAAACATGACATTAGATATGATGCCAAATGGGTTGACATTGAGTCCTCTTTTTGAAGCATGGTGGTGGGAGTATCATTATATTAACTTTCTCATTGGCCAACAAACTGAACATTTCAACCAGATAACAATCTCAAAATTACAGCCACAGTAACTCAAGACTGGTTTCTAAAGAAGGTAAAGGTGCCCTAACCGGTCCCTGACTTAAATCTCCATCAATGGGCCCTTCAGTCTTGAGGAATTGAAGACGGGTAAGAGGAACCTCTTGCCGTAGTCGTCTCTAAGCTGTAATTACCAACAGCAGCTTTGCAGTGAAGTACCGATGTTAATAATTTGTGGAGTCTGAATAATTTTTTCTCCATCAATCTATTTGAGTAAACATCTGTTTATGCTTATAAATACACACTTTTTCCTCGTATTTCTAAGTACAAAATCAAACGACATTACAATGTTAATAGAATTATGATGTATGTAAATTTGAAGGGGATACAGAGCCGTGTGCAAAACTTTGAACACCCCTGGTCAAATGACACATTGTGTTGATTTTCTGAGTGAAAGTAAGTTAAAACACAATTACTGATGTAATGTTTTATTTTTTCCAATATGTTAAACTCAGCATTAAAATTTCAGAAAAAAATGATATTTAAGGGGGTTCTCTGTGGAAGATGTTACTTATTTTAACATAGAATATCAGCAAAACACTGTACTTAATATCTATAAGCCTAAACTTGCAGAATAAATAATGTGTACTATGTTAATGTAAATTATATGTGACTCTTTTCTACCCCAGCCTGGGTTGATAGGGTTTAGTTTCCACAATAACCCCCTCAAGATAATAGAAGCTCAACGAGAAGGCTCTACGGATGTATCTGTCTGGAATGGGAATTGGAGGGTCCCTAGGTATGAGGATCTGGGACACCGTGGAGTTCTGCCGGCGATGGATTTCTAGGTTATAGTATTGTTGACCTTCTATGTACGGCAGCCCCTGTAGATCAATACGGAGACTGTTTGAAGATATCAGCTGGAATCTAGTATGATTGCCCAAGTACCCATGCTTCCACTGTGCAATTAAGTTTCTTATTTCATTGCTCCAAGTCCTGCCATCTGTTAGTGCATTTTGGCCTGGACATACTATGAAAAGAGTGGCAATATGTTTTCCCTGATCAATCTCAAAGTCAATGACCTCTCCACCATCAATTAGCCTTTTCGCTGCGCCGTCTGTGCTTTATTTTCCTGTAGTCGATGCAGAGGTCCAACCGCCCGGGCACTTGCTCATAGATATCAGTTAAGACATCCCAGACACTGTTGTTGTAAGACTGAACAAATGCTTCTGATCTATTGAGCAGTAAATCATCCTGAAAAATGTCCAGGTACTTTTGTTGCAGTGTCTTAGGTTCTACTGGCCCACAGTAACCCCAGCCACCTTCTGCCCTCTTGCACCAGTAGTAGGGTTCACCGTGCTTCCCACAGGGATGGTCCTGGTGACAGGCATTGCCTTTATAATCTATGTTCTTTTCTACTGAGCAGTAATCCCAGCCTTGTTTGGTGTTGCACCAGTAGTAGCTTGTTCTATGCATGCCACAGGCGTCCGTACACTTTTCTCCATATTTGGAGCTGTAATGGTTTCGGTCCTCCTTCACATGCCCACAGTATCCCCACGTCCATCCAACTGTGCACCAGTAATAGTCTTTACTTTCCTTCCAGCACGGAGAGGTGCACTCATTTCCTTTGTGGTCTTGACTGTTTTCTGGAGAGCAGTACAGAGTGTCTATTACGCCCTCTTCTGTTACTGTGTTGCACCTGTACTCGCTCCCATTCAGCCTGCAGTCGTCTAAACACCTCGTCCCGAGATGGGTGTAAAAGATTCTCCCAGAGACGGAGCATGGTAAGACGATGATGACAGACATGAAGAAGACGAGAAGTGCTGGCTGATGAAGCATCATTTCAGCTGTTTCAGACATAAACAGACAAAGGGGAATAAAAGGAGATACAGGATTAAACATAAACATGATTTAAATAAGAATAGTGCACGTAAATAATCTAAATACTGTGTGATGTACTAATGAGTTGGAGTTTTAAGTATTCTTAGCAAAATAAAACTGGCTGAATTTTGTACCACATTATATCAGCATTATATATGAATCCAGTCAGTCAAACAAATATTTGTTTGTTTGTAAAATTATTACATTGATTTAGCAGCAGCCTTAGCAACAACCATAGCAACAACCTTGCAACTGGGATTCCATAGCAATGGCCTAGCAACATCTTAGGAACCACCTGGGTTACCACAGCAACAGCCTAGCAACACCTTAGTAACTAACTGGGATTCCATAGCAACAGCCTAGCAACATCTTAGGAACCACCTGGGTTACCATAGCAACAGCCAAGCAGCAACTTAGTAACTAACTGGGATTCCATAGCAATGGCATAGTAACACCTTAGGAACCACCTGGGATTCCATAGCAATGGCCTAGCAACACCTGAGCAACGAACTGGAACTCCATTGCATTGGCCTACAAACACATTAGCAGCCACGTGGGTTACCATAGCAACAGCCTAGCAACACCTTGGCAACCAACTGGGGTTCAACAGCAACAGCCTAGCAACACCTTAGCAGCCAACTGGGGTTTAACAGCAATGGCCTAGCAACATCTTAGCAACCACACGGGTTACCATAGCAACCGCCTAGCAACACCTTAGTAACCAACTGGGATTCCATAGCAACAGCCTAGCAACACCTTAGCAACCAAAAAGGATTCCATAGCAACAGCTTAGCAACACCTTGGCAACCAAATGGGATTCCACAGCAACAGCCTAGCAACACCTTAGCAACCAAAAGGGATTCCATAGCAACAGCTTAGCAACACCTTGGCAACCAAATGGGATTCCACAGCAATGGCCTAGCAACACCTTAGCAACCAACTGGGATTTCATAGCAATGGCCTTGAAGCACTTTAGCAAACACCTGGATTACCATAGCAACAGCCTAGCAACACTATAGCAACCATCTGATCTTAGTTGAACTTCATTCACAAACTTTCCTCTTCCAGTTGTTAATACGATCTTCTGCTGGAAGAAGCTTTTATATTATTTAGCCCTTTCAACAGGACAGTGACTTAAAGAGGAATCTCACTGATTTAAATCTGCATAATTCAGAGACTGAAAATATACAAAGTGACTCAGAGTGGTTCGATGTGAAATGGTTCATTGTAGAGGAATTTACTGACTCAGATCTCATACAGTGGTGGTGATAGGAACCAGGGGTCACCATGACTACAACACAAATACAGACATTTATTTACTATCAGAAGCCACCAGTGAACCTACACGAGTCTTCTGAGTTTATATGGAATGTTGATGATGAAATAATGATAAATCTGAAATAATACTTTGCCTCACAATGCCCTCCATGTATCACTCCACCATGAATTTGTTACATTTTAGATCCTCAATTTATCACAAAACCATCATAAATCAATGTTTCATAATGTCTCAGTTACCATTTCATGTAATAACTTTATGTGAAATAGTTCACTGAGGTATTAAACTCTTCAGACGTCTGGTTCCTATGGGTTTCAATGGGCTACTGCTTGTGATGATGGATACCTGTCCGTTTACAAAAAGTTACTCACCATTCGCTGCCCACAAAGTTGATTTGGAAAGCAGTAATAATCAAATAAGAAATACTAGGACTTCCACCGGATTCAGTCCGCTGGTGTCTCTTTCTTTACAGTCCTGTATAAAGAAAGCCTTGAGTGTCAAATCAACCTGTTTTTACTCTCAGTTTCATTTCAAAATAAGAGGCGTGACCGGTTCAATAGCTTCTGCATTTTTCCCAGCAGAAAAGCCATTGTGTGTCAGTTCAAATCAGTCCCAAAGCTTTTCTTACACACCTAATTCAAAGTATTAAACACCAACCTCTGTGTCTCCTGTGTTGACTGGGGTCTCTGCCTTTTTACTCTCAGTTCATTCTTTACATGAATATTTTCCAGCCTCTCTTTATCTCTCAGAATTAAACAGGCGGTTCTTGTTACTGTGCCTTTAAGGCTGATGAATGTAAATGTTTACTGAAAACATCTGCCAAATCATGGTATTCAGTAGGGAGAGTAACTAGGACTTTAGTGGCAGGGCTTTCTATATTAGAGGTTAAACAAGGAAGAGTCAGACAATTAAAAAAACAGTGCTCACTCTATTGCTTAAGTTATCCTGTGGACCAGCAAAAGGTGGGATTGTGTTGTTGTAGCCAGGGATACTCTAAAATGACAGGGTTATCAGGGAAATAGTCTCTGAATGGAGCAAGCCTGTGAGTAACATGAGAGGGGCAGTGGTTTCATAGATTTTTCTCGTGCCGTTAGGTTGACCATCCAGACCCTTTACAGAGAGGGGCTGAAAGTGAGAAATGATGGGAATCCCATGTTTATTTGATTGGCATTGTGAGTTTTCTACTTTCAACAATGGGAAAAACTGCCTTATGGAGTTATTGGGTAGGGATGGACATGATGACTTGAAATGTCCAATATTGACTGCAGTATAGTCACAGTCTTTCCCTCAGTCTACGTTGACGCTCCTCTGTGGAAAGCTCTCCATAGGTTTTGTGCTTTACAAGGAGGGGGTGTGGCTAGTGGCTGGGAGGTAGGAGAGAGGCACATTTGTCATTGGGCCCGGATTAAGCTCTCAGGTTTTACTGACAGCTGAACATGTTGGTAAAAGTTGAGTTGGTCACCTTTACAAGCAAGCTCGGATTTCAGAGGGTCATTAAGGCTCTGATGATATATTATTCGTAGAGCTTCGTCATTCCAGCTGCATTCGGCTGCGAGAGTGCGGAAGACCACAGCATGTTCATCAGCTGATTTTTTTCCCTTGTCTCAGCTGTAATAATTGCTCCCATGAATCTTTTCCAGAGACTGGATGATCAAACACTACCTGAAACGCAGTATCAAATTGAGAATATGTCTGTGCGTTCGGGTTTTGTACAATCCACATAACCGTGGCCCACGTGAGGGCTCTGCTTGTCAACAGAGGAAGAACAAAAGCAATTTTCCAATCATCCGTGGGAAAGGCGGAGGGGATGCGTCCAGGGGAACCATTGTATGTTTCGAGTTGTTCAAAGGAGTCGGAGGAGGATTAGGTGTTGCTGCAGGTGCAAGATTAAGATTGTGTAGGGCCTGGGTTAGTTCCACCGTGGAATCGTTCAGGTGCCTTAGTTGTTGTTCATGTGATCCAAGGAGTTGTCCTTGTGCAGCCACTGCTGACTGTAGTTCCTGCAGGCCCACTGGATCCATGGGAGGCGAATGCAGGGGTAGTTTGGTTGGTGGGATCCACCAACAGGCTTTTTTTGACAGGAACAACAGAACAAAACACAGTCCAAAAGCAAAGTCAGGGCAGAGTAGAGTGTCAGTGGCCAAAACACAAGGCAGTAAATACAAAACAAAATCCAAAAATCCAAGTCAAAAAAGACTAGCCAAGATCAAAATCACAAAGTCCAGAAGTCAAAGAAAAAGGGCTCAGGATTGCAGAGGATACATTAACAATGCTTCGCAAAGAGTGGCAAGAGAGTGTGAGAGTATTTATAGGGGAGTTGATGAATGGACCCAAAGAGAGCATTGAGAGAAAATGTATTAGTTCTTTTCCTACAATATCACAAGCATGATTTAAAAATGTACATTACAGTGAGGGGAAACAAATACTCAGACTTGTGTGTTTGATATTTAATATGCTTGAAATTCACACACACTCCTTAGCTAACTTTCAGCTTTATTATTATTTAGCACAAATTAAACATGACATTAGTCTTCATTCCAGATGGGTTGATATTGAGTCCTCATTTTGAAGCATGGTGGTGGGAGCATCATGATATGGAGCTTTCTCATCGGCCAACAAACTGAACATTTCAACCAGACAACAACCTCAAAAATACAGCCAGAATAACTCAGGACTGGTTTCTAAAGAAGGTAAAGGTGCTGGCATGGCCTAACCAGTTTCCTGAGTTAAATCTCATTGAAACTGTGTCTAGAATATTGAAATTGTGAGTCCATCAGTGGGCCCTTCAGTCTTGAGGAATTGAAGACGGGTTGCTAAGAGGAACGGGCCAAAAATGATCCACATTACTGCAAAAGTGAATTACCTCTTACCGTGAATTCATTGCCATGGCCTAGCAACTCCTTAGCAACCACCTGGGTTACCATAGCATTGGCCTAGCAACACTTTATCAACCAGCTGGGTTATCAAAGTAACAGCCAAGCAACAATTTAGCAACCACCTGGGTTACCATAGCAATGGCCTAGCAACACCTCATCAGCCACCTGGGTTACCATAGCGACAGCCTAGCAACACCTTAGCCACCAACTTGGATTTCATGGCAACAACTTTGATGACTTAAATTTCATTTACAAACTTTCTTCTTCTAGTTGTTAATAAGCAGCACTGCTGTCTGATCCACTCGCACCAGCACAACACACGCTAACACATCACCACCACATCAGTGTTACTGCAGCGCTGAAAACGACCCACCACCCAAAAAGTATCTGCTCTGTGGGGGTTCTGTGGGGCTCCTGACCACTGAAGAACAAGGTAACAAAGTACGCAGTGAAACAGATGGACTACAGTCTGTAACTGTAGAACTACAAAGTGCTCTTATATAGTAAGCGGAGCTGATTAAATGAACAACGAGTCCTAGATACAAGGAGGTTGTTTTATTGAGGTGGTCTGTTGGTGTATATATACCTTTAAATCCCTTAAACTTTAAGGGTCCTAATGTGTGTCCACACTTAAGTTCCTTATCCTCATAACTACAGCACTTATATATAAGCTTCATACTAAATAATTTAGCATTGTTACTGAACAATTTATAGTATTATTTTAATAATTTATAGTAGTTACTGAATAATTCATAGTGGCTGGTAAATAATTCAGCTGAATTGGAAATGTGTTAAATGGTTCAGGTTTAATTACAAACAATTCCAAAAATGTGGGGCAGTGTGTGAGGTGCAAATAAAGACTATTTAGAAATCTACTTTGACCCATATTTATATTTAAATATGGACAGTATAAAGAACAATATTATTAATGTCATTGTAATTTGTAAATACACATTCATTCTGAAATTGATGCCTGCAACATGTTTCCAAACAGACAGGAGCAATTTAAGACTAGAAATGCTGTGAAATGTTCAGAAAACCTCAATCATGCAATCATTCTTAGGTATAAAAGGAGCATCCAGGAAAGGCTGGGTCCTTTATGAATGAGGATGGTCGAGGTTCACCACTCTGCCAAAAATGCATCATCGTACCTTCAACCCTTCAGACGGCACTGCATTAAAAACCAACATGCTTCAGTGATTGCAACCACCAAAAGGGCTCATGAATACTTTGACGAACCATTGTTCGTCGCTGCAAGTTAAGGCTGTACTACGCACAGTGGAGGTCATGTCAATAATGTCCAGAAATGCAAAGAAAAGTATATTGTGGCCTGACGAGTCAACCTTTCGGACTGTTTATGGAAATAATGGACGCTGAGTTCTCCTGACAAGGAAAAAGACCATCCAGATTGTTACCAGTGTAAAGTTCAAAATCCAGCGTCTGTCATAGTATTGGGGGGTCTTAGTGAGTAAGCTGTACATCTTTGAATGCTGATTTTAATTTTAATTTTAGCTTTCAATGCTGAAAGATACAACCCCAAATCCAAAAAAGTTAGGACACTGTGTAAAATGTAAATAAAGGTAAATAAAAACAGAATGCAATGATTTTCAAATACCATAGACCCATATTTTATTCACAATAGAACATAGAACACATATCAGATGTTGAAAGTGAGACATTTTACCGTTTCATGAGAAACATTAACTCATTTAGAACTTGATGGCAGCAACACATCTCAAAAAAGATGGGCCAGGGCCTTGTTTACCGTTGTGTAGCAACCCCTCTTCTTTTAACAACAGCCTGTAAATGTCTAGGAAGTGAGGAGACCAGTTGCTGGAGTTTTGGGAGAGGAATGTTGTCCTTGTCTGATGTAGGATTCTAGCTGCTCAACAGTTCTGGGTCTTCTTTGCTTGATTTTTCGTTTCATTTATGTGCCAAATGTTTTCTATTGTTGAAAGTCTGGACTGCAGACAGGCCAGTTCAGCACCCAGACTCTTCTTCTGTGAAGTCATGCTGTTGTGATGGATGCAGTATGTGGTTTAGCATCGTCTTGCTGAAATATGCAAGGCCTTCCCTGAAAGAGACGCTGTCTGGATGGCAGCATATGTTGTTCTAAAACCTCTATATACTGTTCAGCATTAATAGAGCCTTTCCAGATGTCTAAGCTGCCCACGCCATAGGCACTAATGCAACCCCAGACCATCAGAGATGCAGGCTTTTGAACTGTGTGCTGATAACAAGCTGGATGGTCCCTCTCCTCTTGAGTCCACAGGACATTTTGATTCATCTGACCACAGAACAGTTTTCTATTTTGCCATTTTAAATGAGCTTTGGCCCAGAGAAGACAGCGGTGTTTCTGGATCATGTTCACATATGGCTTCTTCTTTGCATGATACAACTTTAACTTGCATTTGTGGATTGCACGGTGAACTGTGTTCACAGACAGTGATTTCTGGAAGTGTTTCTGAGCCCACGCAGTGATTTCCAGTATAGAATCATGGCTGTTTTCAATGCAGTGCCACCTGAGGGCATCCAATATTGACCATCGGCCTTGCGTACAGGGATTTCTCCAGATTCTCTGAATCTTTTGATGATATTATGTACTGGAGATGGTGGGATATCCAAAGTCTTTTTTTATGTGGAGGAACATTTTTTTTGAAATTGTTAGTGTGAGTTAGTTGCAAACTGCTCCTCCAGCTGTTTTTTATTAGTACCACTTACTTTCCCAGCCTTTTGTTTTTTTTCCTGTCTCAACTTTTTTGAGATGCGTTGCTGCCGTCAAGTTCTAAACGAGTTAATATTTTTCATGAAGTGGTAAAATGTCAACATCTGATCTGTGTTCTATGATCTAATCTGAATAAAATATGGGTCTATGAGATTTGCAAATCATTGCATTCTGTTTTTATTTACATTTACTTACATTTTACACAGCGTCCCAACTTTTTTGGAACTGGCATTGGAAATACACATTTTGGAGCAACATATTCCGCCTTCATAGACAGCGTCTTTTTCAGGGACATCCGACACGTCAACACCAAGAAACATTCTGCAAGTGTTAGAGCAGCATGGCTGTGTAATCAGAGAGTGCGGGTGCTAGACTGGCCTGCCTGCCTCCTCCTGAAAACGTGTAGCACAATATGAAGTGCAGAATACAACAATGAAGGCCACGTATGGTCGAACAGCTGAAGACCTGTATAAGTGAAGAATGGCAATAAAGTGTCTTCAGGCCCCAAATGACTATGAAGTGCTGTTAAATGGAAAGATGATGTAACACGGTTAGTAAACATGCTCCTAACTTTTTTAAAAGGTGTTGCTGGCATATACTTACAAAAAAACAGTAAAGTTTATAAGATTAAACATCAAATACCCCGTTTTTGTACAATTTTCAATGTACCTCGGGTTTTACTCAGACTGCTTTATTAGCATTTCATGTACTGGAACTCTTTTGGAATTAAGGTCTGTTTGTAGGCCCAAGATAAATACATTTGCATTTTCTGAAATACTTCTATACACAATGGGCTAAAAACCGCTTGCCTGACTAACAATCCCATGGACATGGCTGTGTGATGATGGATACCCATCAGTTTACCTAAATTTATTCACCATTCACTGCCCACAAAGTTAGATATCCACAGAGTTGATCTGGACAGCAGTAACAATCACAAAAGAAACACTAAGACTTTCACCAGATTTAATCAGTGTTACCTTCTTGATAGCACTCTATAAAGAAAGACCTGAGTGTGAAAAACTTGTTTTGAAGTCTGGCATTTCAGTTTCATCTCAAGATATGAAGTGTAACAGGTTTAATAACATGCCTGCATTTGTCCTGAACAGAAAAGTCATCATGTGTCAGATGGAATCAGCCCCAAAGCGTTTCTTACACCCTTAATTCAAAACATTGGTGGCAAAGATGAGTCACGCCAGCAGGGTTAGAGCATGAAAAGCGCTAAACTATGCACTACAGGAGAACCAGTGCTTGAGTTGATTAGTTTAGTTAAAAGGCCCATGTGGTACATTTTTCTTTTTCTCCACATATGAGGTTAAACAGGCTGTTCTTATCACTGTGCCTTTGAGACCGAGCTCTGTTCTGATTGGCTGCTTGATATTGGGTCTCATTTCAGGCTGAAACACTCCTTTAGGTGTTTGTGTGAAGGTGTTGACTGATTTAAATCATTTACTTCCTACTCTCTCAGATTTCTTTAATAGCAGCCCTGCTTTGTATTTGATCCCAGGACACATATCAGTTACATTCTGCTTTAACGCACCAGAACACCGTCATTAAAATTGTTGTGCTGTTCGTATAATTGTTGTTATGCTGCTTGAAAACCGAGGCCTACTGTTTACAGACTGCACTGTTTGGTGGGAGAATTGTTTATTGTGAATCTTCTGATGTGTTGGTCCCATTCAGCAACATCAAGCTACACATTACAGTGAAGGAAGGCGAGTATTCAGACACTGCTGTTTTAGTCGTTTATTATACTTCCAGTGCAAATATCCACGTCAGATTTACAAACGTAATGTTTTTCGATTTATAAATACACATATATTCATAATCGTGAACATTTTTAGTCTTATGTCTAAAGCAGGGGTGTCAAACTCAACCAGTAAAAGGGCCATATAAAAAAAGTTTTTATTTCATTTTTAATTAATGTTGTGCTGTAACCTGAACTGGCTATTGTTTATTCAAAATACACAAAAACTTCAGCAATAAAATACAGACACTTGTAGTAGACCTTGAAATATTACATGGACACTTGAAATATTTAAAATGTAAACGTCCCTAGGCACTCAGTCTTTTAAACCTACTTATTTGCTTAGGGCTGGACACCTGGCATCCTTTCTTAGCTGAACGTCTATTAAGACTTAGGCTCAGTTTCTGAGCTGTTGAGCTGATGTGAAGTGTGTATGTTGGTTAAACTGCAGCTGAAATGCATTTGGGTGATATGACAGAATGGGTAGAGAGGAAAACACTAGAGGCCAAAAAACCCAAAGTGAATGGATTCTTATTCAGCATTTGTGCAAAATTATAGTTTGTAGATGTTCAAGCATTTTTTATGTAGAAGAATGTCGTGATTTACCTGAACACAGAGCAGCACAAAACATTTTAACACTGCTGTTATATTTCTGAGAGCTTTTAAACTCCAGTTAGAGGAGTTTGTATTGGTGCCTGGTGTTCATTTATGACTTCAGTGAGCGGGAACTGCTTCACTCAGCCAATGGGCTGCTCCGCTTGCCAACCAATCAGTACTCAGTGTTAATAAGGCTAACCAATCAGTACTCAGTGTTAGTAATGCTAACCATTCAGCACTCAGTAGCAGTAATGCTAACCAATCAGTACTCAGTAGCAGTAATGCTAACCAATCAGTACTCAGTGTTAATAAGGCTAACCAATCAGTACTCAGTGTTAGTAATGCTAACCATTCAGCACTCAGTAGCAGTAATGCTAACCAATCAGTACTCAGTGTTAGTAATGCTAACCATTCAGCACTCAGTGTTAGTAATGCTAACCATTCAGCACTCAGTAGCAGTAATGCTAACCAATCAGCACTCAGTAGCAGTAATGCTAACTATTCAGCACTCAGTAGCAGTAATGCTAACCAATCAGTACTCAGTGTTAATAAGGCTAACCAATCAGTACTCAGTGTTAGTAAGGCTAACCAATCAGTACTCAGTGTTAGTAAGGCTAACCAAACAGCACTCAGTAGCAGTAATGCTAACCAATCAGCACTCAGTAGCTGTAATGCTAATCATTCAGCACTCAGTAGCAGTAATGCTAACCAATCAGTACTCAGTAGCAGTAATGCTAACCAATCAGTACTCAGTGTTAATAAGGCTAACCAATCAGTACTCAGTGTTAGTAATGCTAACCATTCAGCACTCAGTAGCAGTAATGCTAACCAATCAGTACTCAGTAGCAGTAATGCTAACCAATCAGTACTCAGTGTTAGTAAGGCTAACCAATCAGTACTCAGTGTTAGTAAGGCTAACCAATCAGTACTCAGTAGCAGTAATGTTAACCATTCAGCACTCAGTAGCAGTAATGCCAACCAATCAGTACTCAGTGTTAGTAATGCTAACCATTCAGCACTCAGTGTTAGTAATGCTAACCATTCAGCACTCAGTAGCAGTAATGCTAACCAATCAGCACTCAGTAGCAGTAATGCTAACTATTCAGCACTCAGTAGCAGTAATGCTAACCAATCAGTACTCAGTGTTAATAAGGCTAACCAATCAGTACTCAGTGTTAGTAAGGCTAACCAATCAGTACTCAGTGTTAGTAAGGCTAACCAATCAGTACTCAGTAGCAGTAATGCTAACCAATCAGCACTCAGTAGCTGTAATGCTAATCATTCAGCACTCAGTAGCAGTAATGCTAACCAATCAGTACTCAGTAGCAGTAATGCTAAGCAATCAGGACTCAGTAGCAGTAATGCTAACCAATCAGCACTCAGCAGCAGTAATGCTAACCAATCAGCACTCAGTAGCAGTAATGTTAACCAATCAGTACTCAGTAGCAGTAATGCTAGTATCCTGCTGCCCCAAACCTGTTTGCTGTAGAAAGAAGGAAACACACAGGTAAGTTGTCTTAGCTTCTTTACTAAAATACATCCTTTTCCTTTTCAAAATTGAAGTAAAGTCAGAGAGAAACTGTTATTAACTAGTCTAACGTTTCGTTTTTAGCCGTTTAGCCCCGTTCACCCCCATTCACCGGGGACTCGCCGGCGGGCGCCCCCTGGCGTTTCGCGGTCATATCTCTGATGTAACGGGAGAAATATGAAGTGGCCAGGCTCCCCTTACACTCGCTCTGGTGTAATACCTTCTTTCGGCCGCGTGAGGGTGCAACGGTGACACGAATGTCCCGAAGTGGCACGCGCAAAGGTTTCTGGGTAATGTAGTTTTGTGGCGTGGTGTCACGATTTAAAGTTCCTGGATACCGGAGCTCGTGTTTACCGCTAGATTTCCGCAGCAACTGGACGGTTCCGCCGGTTTCCTCCACCGAAAGAGGTTCGGCAGTAAATGGTGAGACGACCGTTACTCGCCTTAGAGGCGTTTCAGCCGCTTTAAGCCCAGCTTTGTTACCCGGACTGAGCTCAAAGAAACAAAGAGCTGCGCTCATCACTTCGCCGACGGGCGATGCTGCTGCTTCCTTCCTGACGCGCACACGTTTTCTATATATATATATATATAATATAAAACGACTAAATGACTAAGAACTATTAACGTTCATATACAGGAGCCGAGTAAAGTCCTGCTTTAGGGCGGTTTAAGTAACGCTGTTAAACTAGTCTTCATTCTTTCCGCCCCACTGCTGAGTTTGGCTTTTCACTCTCGTTAGAACTTTTCCGTTCCACCTTAAATGGAGCGACAGTTACTGTGACCGCTGCGCCGTTTAAGGTGGAACGGAAACGGTTCGAATCCTCGGCTTCACGGCTGTTGTTTGTTGTGCTGCTTGTGATTGGCTGACGTCACCCGTGTTGTCCTCCTCTCCCTCAGCTCAGTGGCGGGTCGCGCAGACAAAGGAAGAGCCGCGGGCCGTGTGTGGGCTGTGGAGAGCTCGAGCATCGAGGCGTAAACACGGCACGGAGCCTCACTGTTAAACGTCTGATCTGGGAATAAAACGCTTTTATAAGCCATGTCTGACCAAAAGGACGGGAAGGGGGCAGCGAACGGGGACGCCGTGGACGCCAGACAGGCAGACGCACCAGAGTAAGACGAGCTTAACTACTGTTGCTATGGATACAAAGGAATAAGACTGTATTAACTACTGTTGCTGTGGACACGAGAGAGTTAGACTGAATTAACTACTGTTGCTGTGGATACGACAGATTTAGGCTGTATTAACTACTGTTGCTTTGGATACGACAGAGTTAGGTTGTATTAACTTCTGTTGCTGTGGACACGACAGAGTTAGGTTGTATTAACTACTGTTGCTGTGGACACGAGAGATTTAGGCTGTATTAACTACTGTTGCTGTGGATACGACAGAGTTAGGTTGTATTAACTACTGTTGCTGTGGACACGAGAGATTTAGGCTGTATTAACTACTGTTGCTGTGGATACGACAGAGTTAGGTTGTATTAACTACTGTTGCTGTGGATACGACAGAGTTAGACTGTATTAACTACTGTTGCTGTGGATACGACAGAGTCAGATTGTTTTAACTACTGTTGCTTTGGATACGACAGAGTTAGATTGTATTAACTACTGTTGCTGTGGATACGACAGAGTTAGACTGTATTAACTACTGTTGCTGTGGATACGACAGATTTAGACTGTATTAACTACTGTTGCTGTGGACACGACAGATTTAGACTGTATTAACTACTGTTGCTGTGGAAATAACTGAGTTAGATTGTATTAGCTACGGTTGCTGTGGCAACGACAGAGTTAGACTGTATTAACTACTGTTGCTGTGGCAACGACAGAGTTAGACTGTATTAACTACTGTTGCTGTGGATTCGACAGAGTTAGACTGTATTAACTACTGTTGCTGTGGATACGACAGATTTAGACTGTATTAACTACTGTTGCTGTGGATACGACAGATTTAGACTGTATTAACTACTGTTGCTGTGGACACGACAGAGTTAGACTGTATTAACTACTGTTGCTGTGGCAACGACAGAGTTAGACTGTATTAACTACTGTTGCTGTGGCAACGACAGAGTTAGACTGTATTAACTACTGTTGCTGTGGATTCGACAGAGTTAGACTGTATTAACTACTGTTGCTGTGGACACGACAGAGTTAGACTGTATTAACTACTGTTGCTGTGGATACGACAGATTTAGACTGTATTAACTACTGTTGCTGTGGACACGACAGAGTTAGACTGTATTAACTACTGTTGCTGTGGACACGACAGATTTAGACTGTATTAACTACTGTTGCTGTGGACACGACAGAGTTAGACTGTATTAACTACTGTTGCTGTGGATACGACAGATTTAGACTGTATTAACTACTGTTGCTGTGGATACGACAGAGTTAGACTGTATTAACTACTGTTGCTGTGGACACGACAGAGTTAGACTGTATTAACTACTGTTGCTGTGGACACGACAGAGTTAGACTGTATTAACTACTGTTGCTGTGGACACGACAGATTTAGACTGTATTAACTACTGTTGCTGTGGATACGACAGATTTAGACCGTATTAACTACTGTTGCTGTGGATACGACAGAGTTAGATTGTCTTAACTACGGTTGCTGTGGCAACGACAGAGTTAGACTGTATTAACTACTGTTGCTGTGGATTCGACAGAGTTAGATTGTATTAAATTCTGTTGCTGTGGATACGACAGATTTAGACTATTAACTACTGTTGCTGTGGACACAACAGATTTAGACTATTAACTACTGTTGCTGTGGACACGACAGATTTAGACTGTATTAACTTCTGTTGCTGTGGATACGACAGAGTTAGACTGTATTAACTGCTGTTGCTGTGGATTCAACAGAGTTAGACTGTATTAACTACTGTTGCTGTGGATACGACAGATTTAGACTGTATTAACTACTGTTGCTGTGGACACGACAGAGTTAGACTGTATTAACTACTGTTGCTGTGGACACGACAGAGTTAGACTGTATTAACTACTGTTGCTGTGGACACGACAGAGTTAGACTGTATTAACTACTGTTGCTGTGGACACGACAGAGTTAGACTGAATTAACTACTGTTGCTGTGGATACGACAGATTTAGACTGAATTAACTACTGTTGCTGTGGATACGACAGAGTTAGATTGTCTTAACTACGGTTGCTGTGGCAACGACAGAGTTAGACTGTATTAACTACTGTTGCTGTGGATTCGACAGAGTTAGATTGTATTAAATTCTGTTGCTGTGGATACGACAGATTTAGACTATTAACTACTGTTGCTGTGGACACAACAGATTTAGACTATTAACTACTGTTGCTGTGGACACGACAGATTTAGACTGTATTAACTACTGTTGCTGTGGACACGACAGAGTTAGACTGTATTAACTTCTGTTGCTGTGGATACGACAGAGTTAGACTGTATTAACTGCTGTTGCTGTGGATTCAACAGAGTTAGACTGTATTAACTACTGTTGCTGTGGATACGACAGATTTAGACTGTATTAACTACTGTTGCTGTGGACACGACAGAGTTAGACTGTATTAACTACTGTTGCTGTGGACACGACAGAGTTAGACTGTATTAACTACTGTTGCTGTGGACACGACAGAGTTAAGACTGTATTAACTACTGTTGCTGTGGACACGACAGAGTTAGACTGAATTAACTACTGTTGCTGTGGACACGACAGATTTAGACTGAATTAACTACTGTTGCTGTAGATACAACAGAGTTAGGTTGTATTAACTACTGTTGCTGTGGACACGACAGAGTTAGGTTGTATTAACTACTGTTGCTGTGGACACGACAGAGTTAGACTGTATTAACTACTGTTGCTGTGGATACAACAGAGTTAGGTTGTATTAACTACTGTTGCTGTAGATACAACAGAGTTAGGTTGTATTAACTACTGTTGCTGTGGACACGACAGAGTTAGGTTGTATTAACTACTGTTGCTGTAGACACGACAGAGTTAGACTGTATTAACTACTGTTGCTGTGGACACGACAGAGTTAGGTTGTATTAACTACTGTTGCTGTGGACATGACAGATTTAGACTGTATTAACTACTGTTGCTGTGGATACGACAGAGTTAGACTGTATTAACTACTGTTGCTGTGGATACACCAGAGTTAGGTGGATTAACTACGGTTGCTGTGGCAATGACAGAGTTAGACTGTATAAACTACTGTTGCTGTGGATACGACAGATTTAGACTATTAACTACTGTTGCTGTGGATACGACAGAGTTAGACTGTATTAACTACTGTTGCTGTGGAAACGACAGAGTTAGACTGTATTAACTACTGTTGCTGTGGACACGACAGAGTTAGACTGTATTAACTACTGTTGCTGTGGATACGACAGAGTTAGATTGCCTTATCCATTGTTGCTGTAGATACTCTACACTAAATACTCTTAACCGTGGTTGTTTAAAGACACAGACTAATCATGACTTGTGTTGTTATGACTGTGCCACACTAAATGGTCATGTTGTTGTAGATTCACCCGACTAAATGGACTTGACTGCTGTCGCTGTGGACACAGTAGAGTAAGCTGATCTAGACTACTGTTGCCAAGATGATCTGTTCCTGTTGCCATGCATGTTCCATTCATTCCATGCAGGTGCTACTGATGTCATGTCAGGTTTTTGTTTACAGTGTATTCGGGCGGGGTATTGTGTAGTGTATTCAGTGTTGTTGACCCTGAAATGGTCAACAACACCGGTTTTCTGTCTAGATAGAGGTACAGAAGCAACCAATCAAAGTGTATTTGTTTGAGAACATAGCTTGTCTAAAATCAGTCTGTTTCCAAACCCTGTTCGGTGTAAAAGCATTTTATATGCTGTTTAATGGACGTATGCAATGATAACTGCTTTTAGGGAGCTGTTGAACATTTGCAGTCTCCGGGTCGGGTGGTGTTTATTGGACTTTTTTTTTTGTTTGCCTGAGGTTGGGTGTGTAGTGACCACATTAGTTTGGACTAGGCCTGTGCCCGTTGACAGTTACTACAGTAACATCCCCCAGTGACAGTACAACTCCTTTCCTGGTGGCTTAAAATGTGTTGTTTATTTATTGATTAATTTTATGCAAACCATAACAAGACATTAGTATTCCCATGAGTGAACGTTTAAACATGTTGGGTGATGGGATATTCTACATTAATATTAGGGATGTGTATAGGTACTCGTTTAACCCATATTTGAGTACTTCAGTATTAGAGCCCGTCACAAACATGCCGGAAGAAAGGCCGTGTTAACTGCTTTATGGAAATACAAAAAGTCTGGGAATAGTGTCTTTAAAGTAGCAAGAGTTGCTGAATTATAGTATTTCAGTAAATCTAACACTGTGTGCGTATGATTTGATTGTGCAGTGCTGGTAAGGCCGAGGCTGGAGCAGGGGAGCCCATGCAGGTGGATGCCAAAGGTCACTCATATAGCTTCAGATACAGCCTGAACTACCCCTGCATCGGCCACTGCATCATCATCAACAACAAGAACTTCCACGGGAGTACTGGTAACACTGCTGACCACACAACCCACACATACTGATGTCGTTAAGGCCATTATTTCTAGCAAAGCCTTGAACAGAGTTGTGAATGATCCTCTAGATATTTTCATGAATTTGGTTTCTGTAACTGTTACTATCCGTTATTTTTGCCTTAAATTATTGCCTATAAATGTAAACGTTGTGGTCATGCATGCCTCAAAAGAAAACATTGTGATGGATACATCAGACTAAAGTATATTATTCATTGTTATTGTTTAGACTGTTGCTATAGTTACTAAACAATTTTAATTTCTTGACTTGAAATTTTTAACTTGTTGCTATAGTTACGCCTGACTAAACAGTCTCAACATCTGTTGCTATAGTCATGCCGGACTAAACAGTCTCAACATCTGTCGCTACAGTTGCGCCTTAACTTCTGTTGCCATAGTTACGCCTGACTAAACAGTCTCAACATCTGTTGCTATAGTTACGTCTGACTTAACAATCTTAACTGCTGTTGCTAAAGTTACGCCTAACTAAACAACCTTAACTGCTGTTGCTATAGTTACACCTGAGTAAACAGTCTTAACCTAGTTATGCCTGACTAAGCATTCTTAAGTATAGTCAGTATGGCTGCACCAGACTAAATCATCTTAACATCAGTTGCTATGGTTACGGAAGACTACACATTCTTAAACGGAGTTGCACCTGACAAACTGAGACAAAGACCAGACTTAACAAGTCTTAACTAATTTTGCTAAGGTTACACCGGATGAAATGCTTTTAACTAGATCTGCTACGGCTACACCAGACTAAACAATCTTAACTAGAGTTGCTAAGGTTACACAAGACTAAGTGATCTGAACTAAAATTGATCTTAATCTCTGGTCTTAACTGTGCTGTACTTTTGCCTGTGCAATATATCTGTCTTTCTGAATGAGATACGCATTCTGGTTTTTATCCTGAAGGCATGAACCAGCGCAACGGTACGGATGTCGATGCAGGAAACGCCATGAAAACGTTTGGAAAGCTGGGATACAAAGTGAAGGTGTTCAACGATCAGACAGTGGCGCAGATCACGCAAGTTTTAAGTGCAGGTAAGATTAACCCCACTCTATTTAACAAACATTAACCGACAGTTTCATACTGAAAGAGTATCTTTATGGGGGGCAAAGTCTGCTACTTGGCCTTGTTTCATGAGCGACAAGATGCTTATGTCAGCATTGCAGTGTCTGTTGTATGCAGGTATATTTAGGCTAAAATGTTCGTCTTCAACTTCAGCTACAAAGGCTGATCGTTAACATTCTTCCAGTAGGGCGAAGGCAGGTTAGACGTCTGTCACTGAGGAGTATCATCATGTCTCCTCGCGTCGTTGCTCATGTATGTTTTAGTCAGAGCTTGTCACATGGCTAATCATGAGACAATAACAGGATGCAGCCTGCACATACCTGCACACTGTTTACTGTAGGCTCAGGGACACTTCCCAGCCAAACCAGTCCTGCAGTCACCCTGTGATGCAGTTGCATATCACACATGGTTCCTGCCAGACAGTTAGCTTTTTAAAAGATGCTTAATATCAAATTAGTACAGTGCCTTTGGTTTGCAGTAGGGCTGCAATGATTAGTGAACAAATTCAGCTACACTGATTATAAAAAATATTTTATTATTGTTTTATTGTCACCGTGTGACAACGATGCACAAGCAAAGCGATAAGATGTTTTCTGCTCCCACTGATTTTGGGCAAAGGTGCTTTTAACTAGCCAGAGTTGGTAATGAGTAAATATTACATCAAGCTATATTTTACTGTCAACAGAATGTCTCATGGAAGGCGAACATTTCAGTGATGTTAAGTATGGACGTGCACGAGTACTCAAGTACTCGGTTAACTGTTCAAAATGTCCATATTCAAGCCTTCAGGTCACTATTCAGGCATTTACTGTGTTTCATCATTGTTTTAACAGAACAGTAAAACGTGAAAGTTTTGAGAAAAAGTCTTGAAAACTTGAAAAACTTCTTTTTTTCCATAGGGAAGGTTGTTTTACTCTGTTCTAAAGTGTATGCATGACGCAGGGTGTTTGGTTAACGCACCTCAAGTTGAGCCAAGAGTCCATTTAGCCAATGGAAAGTCACTGTTGTGTAATAACAGTCTCCATGGTAATGATTGTCAGTACATGTTTAGAATGTAAAGGCAGCCAAGAAACTCCACAGTCAGTGATAAAAGTGGCGTTTCACTTTCTAATTTCCTCAGACCTTGGTGGCATTTGTTTGGATATGTAGTATCATGTAAATAATATTGTTTGACACTTTGTTTGTTTATTGCTGAGAATTTCAGTCAATAATGGCTGATACCCAGCTAGCTGGCCTGCTAATGTTAGCCATTCATTTTGAGCTATGCAACTAAATATAAACATATCTAATGTAAATGAACAGTGAATTTTGACAGCCTAGATCACACAATGAAAAAGGTAGTGTGGTATTTTTGATGTAATAGTGGTTGTTTTGACTGTTTTTAAGTGTTCAAAACACAATCAATTTAATATTAAGGTTGATGATTTTTTATCTCCCATTATTTAAAATGATTTCTGACTGAAACAGGAACATACCTACTGTGTAGCTGATCGAAAAAATAGTCAATTATAGAAGTAATCATTGGTTGCAGATCTAGTTTGCAATGACTTAACATGTTGGAGCCTAAGCAGGTTTTATTTAGAGTAAAATAATAGTAAACATGTAAATGTTAGTGACGGTATTTCTGAAAGTCACACATTGGAAATGATGCCAAAGCTCATGCGTTTTAGCCCCTCGTGGTGATTTTAGCACTATTTTAGACACTTAAGAAAACCTATTTTTGATTCTATTATATAAAATTTGTATTTATTACCAAATAACAAGTAAAAAAAAAAACTATATTTAACAATTGAAGTGAATGTTAAAAAATTCTGCTGTGCAAAATAGTTAAAAACACACCTGGTGCATGGTGCTTACATTTGGCATTCATCAGCTTCTCTGCCTCAGCAAAACAGAGCTGAATTTTATTTGATACCTGAATTCATTTGTCTCATTTGTCTCAAGTGAAAAGTTAACTTTTTTTTGTTTTGATTTCATTCCTTTTAGCGTTTTAAATTCTTAAAATTGTTTGTCAGTAGCTGGTCTGCAGCACTGGTACGTCATAAAGCTGGTTAACAGACTCTCACCACTCAAACTTAAAGTCGACAGAGTCGATTGCGAGCATTTCAACTCTGAGTCTTCGCCAAAAGTCGACCTCGACTCCCAGATGTGCTGGAGTCGCAGAATCGCCTCATTTGGAGTTCACTCCCCATCACTAATGTTAACCAGACCGAGCGTTCTAGCACAGTGTGAGCATATATATCGCAGGCTTTGTCTGCACACGATGGATGGTTCAGACGTAAAGTGTGAGTCGCCAAAGAGCAAGATTTCTTAAATCACAGTGTATGTCTGGTTTAATGTTCACTCCCTTTGGATTCACATTAACTATAACTGAATACACAGCGATATGTGTTGAGTGTCCGTGAAAGATCTTCGGAGGAACTTGAAGCTGGAGACGCGCTCTACCTCAGAACCGTTGATTCGGGGACAGTGTGTGCAGCTTTTGTTTTTCCGGTAGTCCACAATGAGCTCCTTGGTCTCGTCTGTGTTGAGGGAGAGGTTGTTGGCGGTACACTAGGCAGCCGGGTGCTGGATCTCCTCCCTGTAGTCCGATTCAGCATTGTCGCTGACGTGGCCAACCACTGTGGCATCGTCTGCAAATTTAATAATGGTGTTTGATGTGCGCACACAGTCATGGGTAAACAGGGAGAAAAGCAGAGGACTTAGTACACAGCCTTGTGGAACACCGGTGTTCAGAGGCAGACGTTCCATACAGATCATGTTTGTACAAGCAATGCCACCACCCCTGTGTAGCTGAACCATCCTGCAGGTTCTTCCACAGAAGTCCACAGTTCCCCTGAACTGCTAGTTCGTACAGTTCAGGGTGAGGGTGGAGGACATATGACTGCCCAATCTCACAGACTGGAAGTCCAAGACCCAGTTACACAGGGGGATGCCATGACCATTTTTACTGCCGCTGTTCAACCCACACTGCTACTGGCTCAGTAGCGCAAAAGTGCTTCAGAAATGTGTTTTTTTTTCCACTTTGCCATGTATTTATCATTCATCCTGAGTGACTGTGAAAACAAGTGCTTTTAGAATTCATATATTAGGATATACGCATATAGTATAAGTGATACTATATTGAAAAATGAGTGCTTCTGTAACTTTATTGCCGTTTTTCTCAGTTGCCCGGGGAGAATCACAGCCGCTGTGCCTCGTTTGTGTGCGTGTTGCTGAGTCATGGAGATGAGGGAGTGTTGTTCGGGACAGATAAAGCGGTGCAGCTGAAAGCCCTAACCAGCCTGTTCAGAGGAGACCGCTGCCCCTCACTAGCGGGCAAAACCCAAACTCTTCTTCATACAGGTGTGTGTGTGTGTGTATAATCACAGGTATGGATTCCTTCTGATGACTCTTCCATACAGATCATGTTTGTACAAGCAATACCACCACTCCTGTGTAGCTGAACCATCCTGCAGGTTCTTCCCCAGAATTCCACAGTTCCCCATAACTGCTTAGTTCGTAAGAGATAGCAGTTAAGGTGGAAATTGTGAGATGGAAAAGGTTTGATATCTTTTTATAGCCTTCCTTTGCTTTATAGGCATCAGTTAGTTTCATGTTCAGATACTCAGCCAGCTACTTAGAGGAGCCCATAGTTTTTAGCACAAGGATCAAGAATCAGGAGGCTGAGAATTTACTGTGCTGTGGATTGGTCATCAGTTGACCATTCATAATGACAGTTCTTGATGTGCCCAACCAGTCAGTTAATGCCTAATGACTCAGTTAAGTTCTGGGACTTTACAACTAGAAGGGAACTGTCAGAACTTGTGCACATGCTGCAATAATGTATATTTTTAGAAGGGATTTGAACATGAAATAACTGCATTAACATTGGCAGTGCACTGACTTTGCTGCAGAAGTTGTGTTTTTACTTGTTTTGCTAAAATATGTAATGTGGCCAAGGGTGCCCAAACATTTGCATATGGTTATTTTCTCTCTTATGTGTTGATTTACAGTTTGTGTGTTTCGCTCATAAGAATGACAAGACATAAGAAATGGTATAACTTGCATTTTAGCACTGCTTAATATTTGAACTTTTCTGTTTTGATAGGCCTGCAGGGGCACTGACCTGGACGCGGGTATTGAAATGGACAGTAACTCGGATGGTTCACCTGTGAAAATCCCAGTGGAGGCTGATTTCCTCTATGCCTACTCTACAGCGCCAGGTATATCCACATACAAACAATCGAACCTCTAATGGCAAATCATGTCCTTTGTTTATCCGTAAATATCAGGGACGTGCTGTACCGCCCCCTGCTGTTAGCATAGTTTTTTTCTGCAACTGGTAAGTCCTAAAATACAGTGTTTTGTTTTAGGACGAGGCTGTAATGCCTTCTCTCTCTGCCTGTCTGCATATAGCAATTATCAATGTCAGCCACCTGCAAGTCACCAAGACAAGTCCTGTTTGATGTAAACTAGCCAGTTTGATTATCAATTTATTAATGGTATTGATCTCATTATGTTCATCACATATTGATACTGTTTTCCAAAATGGTAGCGTTAATGTAACGAGGGTAATTTTGGACCAAGTCTATCAAATCTCATATTTCTCTATGATGTAGGTTATTATTCTTGGAGGAACACCATGACCGGCTCTTGGTTCATCCAGTCTCTCTGTGAGATGATCAACAGGTACGGCAGAGAGCTGGAGATCCTGCACATCATGACCAGGGTCAACCACAAGGTGGCGCTAGACTTCGAGTCCACCTCCAACTCGCCGGGCTTCGACGCCAAGAAACAGATTCCCTGCATTGTGTCCATGCTGACCAAAGAGATGTACTTCACTTCTTGAGGGGATGCAAGCCAGACCTACTTTTCTAGAAATGTGTCGTTGCGGATAAAGCCACAGTCAGGGAATTCAGGTCAACAAACAGGCAGCCACATTAGCCACTGGATGAAGGGAAAGGGAATACGTTCATGACAATTAAAACACAAGAGCCAGTAGCCAACACCGTCACATAAAACACCATTTAAAGGCTCCTAGTAGGTGCTCATTATTTTTGAAAACCAAAAACATTAGGAAAGCCCTTGTATTTAGCCTTGCAGTGTAGCGATGAGCATTTCGGTCTAATTTGATACTTGAATTCGTAAGGCATTTTTAAAAAGTATCAAAATACACCCCCATCGGCAATAAAAGGAAATAGTTCCAGATGTTACAGGCCGGATGTGTCGTTAACAGAATCGCAGCGTCCACTCAGCATCTTAATAATCATAATAATAGATAATACTCTTACTATACTATATATTTTAAAAAGATGTTCCTTCAAGGGTTCTTTAGTACAGAAAATGGTTCTGTATAGTACCATGAACACTCAGAGAACCCTTTGTATGTTGAAACTGTTCTTCAGATTGATGGAGAGTGTGGTTTTGATATCGTACCAAAAAGGGCTGTTCTGTTGTTGCAGGCTTGACATCGTAACAATAGGAGAACCCCTTTTGGTGTTCCATAGAACCCTTTTTAAAAAAGTGCACGTTCTGAAGAGTTTGTAAGGAGTTGGTCAGACACCAAACGTGATAAATTCGCTAATTGATGTTGAAAATTTTATTCCATTAAACCTATAAGAGTGAGATGTGTAATAAGTTTAAGATAGATGCTTATCAGCTCTTTACTGCTACACTTCCTATGTGCTATAGCTGTGCTTTGTACCATCTACTGCGCAGCGTTTCATGCCCATTGTGCGGTCGCCTTTAGACGGCTGCAGTAGTCTTTCTGTACTTCTTTCTTTAGACTCAACAGATAAGGAATCGGCTCAAAATGTGGAGTACAGGTTTTAGACATCTCTCGATAACATATTGCTGTTCAAAGAAAAGTATGCATCTCCATTTTTTTGGTGATTTGTACTTTTCTGCATTGTTTGGATGCAGCAGCTGGGCATTTCAGGATGATTGGAACAATAGAAATGCTGAAATTGCTGAAATAAAATCTCTTTCCATTGACTTAAATTGGAAATAAGGAAAGTTTTTGCTCTCTCCTGTAAAGTTACTGTTTTGGAGATACATATTTTTCTTGGGACAGCAATGATATATTGAGTGTATATTTTGCTCATGAAAAATTCCTCTTTAATATTTGATTTTTCATCATTTATCATGACTATTTGAATATTATTACTCATGATTATTACAGTATGATTGTACTTGATAAATGAGCCAACTTAAAATTGGATGCACAGGCGATGGTGAAAATAGGCTGAGAATCTGAAATAAACGAAGTTTGTTTTTGTCTTTATTTTAATATTGCAGATCCCTGATTGTGGCTTTAAGGAAGGAGTTTAGGGATCTCACAGTTAGCTAGATCAGCGGCATTTTGGGATGTTTTAACATCCAAATTATGTAGAATTTCAACTAAATGGTCAAAATTTCAGCAACTACTCAAACACCCGACAGGTGTCGGCGCTTGGAGTGAAGGGTCAGGTTTAGGCGCTCATAGGAAATTGCATTGAAATCAGCCATAAAAGACTAGTGAAATGCTAATGTTGATGTAGGGCTGACTATAGAGGACCATCCTGAAAATGTAGATATGAACGGTTTTCATTCACCTTGTGTGCTGCTTTGCTTTCACGTCAGGATATTTGTATGTTATCCCTATATTGATGACTTAAAAGTTATTGGTACCGTTTTGTCTGTTGTAGGCAACATAAAACAGCCTGATTAACCACTACAGGCCACTCATGTGAAGCACATTTCACATGATCATTTTACATCGAGTTGCCAGTTTACTCGAAACCCCTACCTTGAACCTATACTGTCAGTGGCCATTTTATCAGAAACACCTCCCATTAAAGGTGCACTCTGAAGATATATAATCTGCTGCTGTGCAAATTGTAAGCCCACCTTTACCTGGTTTGTCACAGGAAAGGGCCCACCATTTATAAGGTAGTGTTTAGGTGGTGGATCATTCCCAGTACAGCTATTTTATTAGAAGGTTTATTAGAAACACTTGTAGCTCCACTTTGCTGATGTGCACAGTTTTGTTAGGCTGGGAGGAAGAACTAGATGAAATCAAATTACAGTGGAACACGCTGTTCTAAGTGTACTTAAAAAGAACTATGTGTCAGCCCCGAAACCTGGGCCAGTCATAGTCAGGGGGGTCTCTGAACAAACTACACGGTGATTAGGACCAATCACAGCCAGGGGGAGGTCTCCAAACAAATGACACAGTAATAAGAACCAATCACAGTCAGGGGGGTCTCAGAACAAACAGCACAGTGATTAGGACCAATCACAGTCGTTCTCCAAACGAATGGGTGTGGTCAAGAAATGACATAGTGACTGGACCAATCACAGTCAGGTGGAGGTCTCAGAACAAACTATGCAGTGATCATGACCAATCACAGTCGGGGCCCGTTCTCCAAAAATGACAGTAATTAGGAGCAATCACAGTCAGGGGGCGTTCCCCAAACAAACGACATAGTGATTAGGACCAATCACGGTCGGTGGGAGGTCTCCAAACAGACCCTTTGGTGATTAGGTTCCCTTCCTCAAGCAGCACACTGTACAAACTCAAACCAACACGTCTTTTTGGCCAAAAAGGCATTGTTTTCCTACGAAACCATATTTTCATTTGAAGTATACTGCCAGCTTAACCCTATTTTAGCCCTTTGTCGGTGGTCAGTTTCTGCCCACAGGACCACCGTTGACTGGTTATTTACTATTGCACACGGTTAGCAGACAGTCAGTAATTGTATATCTACAGTGCTCCTACAATATGGTAGATGTTTCTGATAAAAATGACCATAAAGTGTAGGTTTATGGTTGGGGTTCCCAGTAAACCGGCTACTCAGTGTCCACCATGATTCATTCAGAACCTTGTTTTCCTGATGTAGCCAGGTTGCTAGATAACCTTGTGGTATGAAATTCGGTGCAGGTCTCCGGCATTGTTTCATTTACTTCATTTACATACACGTCTTTGACTGTATTCTGTGCATTTTCTAAGTTTTAAACTACTTTAATCTGCGGTAACTTGTCCATCCTCTGCCCACAAATGTGTCCATTCATAGCTGATGTCGTTGGGTTGACCATGCTTTACAGAACGTGATGAGAAACTGAACTGCAATGCAATTTAGAGTGTTATTCATTTAAAACGACGTGTATTTTATGTGCACTTGAAAGGGAGGGATACAGATGTTGGCTGTGCAGTTGAGCTAATGTGGGCACGGTGGTTAGTTTGCTGTTGTCGTTACCCTTCTGTAAAGCTTGTCCAGTCTTGCAACAGGGTGCTTTTATGGGCAGGGCATGGACCACAGAGCAATTGGACCCAGTTCCTGGGAAAACGAGCTGGATGACGAGGGCAGCGGTCGCACGCGAGAAGCCGAAAGCTTTGTTTACATGGGATTTTGTTACATAGCTACAGCTGACTGAGGTCTCAGAGGAGATGATGTTCGTCTGTACACCCCTGAAAGCTCTCCACTGTGAAATCTAGGCCTATGCATTGCTTTATTTTTCTTTTTTCCACATCAAAGGGAGTTTTTTACATGTTTGCATGGTGTATTTATGTATGTAGTACTTTTATTTTGAAATGCAGTTGTGAAGCTACATCTATATTTAGCTTAATGTTCAAAAATAAGGCCATTATGATCACAGTTTGTCTAACTGTGCTGCAGGAATCAGGGATTAAGCAGATTTTGCAAGCCTAAATTTTGTCAGTAATTATCAGACAGTAGTTCATGAGTCAAAGGGCTACGCAGTTTATAATCAGACCGAGATTTATATTGAAGTCCTTAAATGAAACTGCCACTGGCGAATTTCTTTATAGCTTGTGTTAAAGTTTGTAGTGCACTCTGTTAAGGGTTGTTTATCTATTTGTATATACTACCAAGGTGCTGTTGTGTGTGTTTGTTAGAGAGGGTTAATAGGTTAGTAGCTTAGCTATGGCATGAAATGAGCTGTAAAGCAGAGGCCGGATTCCCGAAAGTGTCTTAAAGGGCCCATGTCCTACTGTCTACTGTACCTTTAAGACTTATATATGTAAACGAGCTCTATTCTAACTTCAGAGTGAGTGGGCGGGGCTAAGCTGCTGTAGGCTGAACAGGTGGATATACACCGATCAGTCATAACATTATGACCACCTCTTTGTTTCTACACTCATTGTCCATTTTATCAGCTCCACTTACTATATAGGTGCACTTTGTAGTTCTACAGTTACAGACTGTAGTCCATCTGTTTCTCTGATACTTTGTTAGCCCATTTTTACCCTGTTCTTCAGTGGTCAGGACCCCCATGGACCCTCACAGAGCAGGTACTATTTGGGTGGTGGATCATTCTCAGCACTGCAGTAACACTGATGTGGTGGTGGTGTGTTAGTGTGTGTTGTGCTGGTGCGAGTGGATCAGACACAGCAGTGCTGCTGGAGTTTTTTTTAAACACAGTGTCCACTCACTGTCCACTCTATTAGACACTCCTACCTTGTCGGTCCACCTTGTAGATGTAAAGTCAGAGACGATAGCTCATTTGCTGCTGCACAGTTTGTGTTGGTCATCCTCTAGTCCTTCATCAGTGGTCACAGGACGCTGCCCACAGGACGCTGTTGGCTGGATATTTTTGGTTGGTGGACTATTCTCAGTCCAGCACTGACACTGAGGTGTTTAAAAACTCCAGCAGCACTGCTGTGTCTGATCCACTCAGACCAGCGCAACACACACTAGCACACCACCACCAAATCAGTGTTACTGCAGTGCTGAGAATGATCCACCACCCAAATAGTACCTGCTCTGTGAGGGTCCATGGGGGTCCTGACCACTGAAGAACAGGGTAAAAGGGGGCTAACAAAGTATCAGAGAAACAGATGGACTACAGTCTGTAACTGTAGAGCTACAAAGTGCACCTATATAGTAAGTGGAGCTGATAAAATGGACAATGAGCATAGAAACGAGGTGGTCATAATGTTATGCCTGATCATTGTATGTAAATGATTGTTATGACATCACAGAAACGGTGATTCTAAAATGTTTCCATATATGGACTGTATGGATTAAGGAATTTAAGTTATATTTTAAAACTAAGTGTTTTCATATGACATCAAACTCTTTTTATTCCTAAAATCAAGGAATGTTAAGTTTTTCAGGATGTGGGTCCTTTAAGGAAAAAAATTTCTTATTCTTTTTGTCCGATTTAAGAAAAATACGTTTTTCTTCAAATTTCTTGCTTAAAAACAATTCTGCGATCAGGTGCTATGATTTTTTATTTCTTAATCTTAG